AATCGGCACTTCAAAGCCCCTAGTCGGAACGAATCTACCTTTACACCATTCCGAGAACCTTTGTATCACTGGTGCAAACCGAAGCCCATTCAGGTGTTAATTAAATTATGGTCCAAGAAGCCGCGCTAACTAGATTGGAACAGGGCCACTCGAGGTGGTGAATGACTTTTGGGAGTATTGAATAGGATCTAGCACAGGTAGGAAGGGTGGTTAGATTTGCTTTGTGAACTAATATTTGTATGATCTGCGTTTAACCTAAGCTGTGTGGTAAGTTGATTTCAGCTTCAACTAGCAGTGCTTAGCAACTTTTAGACTACTAAGCGCGGTTAAGTTTGATATTTCATTGTTTGAAATGTGCCACTCTTATTTAATCCTGTGAAATATATAGACACTAGAAAAGTGAAGAAAATAAAAAATGTAGCCTATTTCAATATATCAGTACTGAATTGTTGTTAAATTTAAAATATTTTTACAGTAGAATTTTCTCATAAATCTGTTGTTCTGAAAAAAAAAAAAAAAAAAAAAAAAAAAACTATATCTGGTTCCAGCATTTATTCTAAAAATCTAATACTTCCAATACTGTAGTTCTAACAATGTTTCCGTCTATTTAATTTCAGGAGGGTATAACCATATATATATATATATATACAGGGTGTTTTTTTAAAAACTTGCATCTTTATTTATGTAAAAACCGCAATAGATAGAAATATGCAGTTTGCGGGAATCATCTATTGACGTAGGGGGACCAATTGCTTTGAATTCAACGTTACATTCACATTCCCCCCCTTTCCCCCCCTGCCCCCAACTTAATTTTTTTAAATAGCAAGGTACCCCTTGTGACATATCAAATAAAAGAGCATAAAAAAAGAAAATGTTTGATGAAAAAAAATTGAAAATCGGTTCATAAATTTGTGAGATATTCCCCCCCTCACCACCCCGGAATTTATTTTTTTTTTAATAGCAAAGTACCCCTTGTGACCTATCAAACCTATCAAATGAAAGAGCATGAAAAAAGAAAATTTTTGGTGAAAAAAAATTTAAAATCGGCTCATGAATTTGTGAGATAATCACCCCCCTTTTCCCCTACCCATAACTTGTTTTTTAATAGCAAGATACCCGCCCTTGTGACATATCAAATGAAAAATAAATTTCACCAAAATTTTTCTTTTTTTATGCTCTTTCATTTGATATGTCACAAGGGGTACTTTGCTATTAAAAAAAAATTAAGTTCCGGGGGGGTAAGGGGGGGATATCTCACAAATTTATGAACCGATTTTCAATTTTTTTTCATCAAACATTTTCTTTTTTCATGCTCTTTTATTTGATATGTCACAAGGGGTACCTTGCTATTTAAAAAAATTAAGTTGGGGGCAGGGGGGTAAGGGGGGGAATGTGAATGTAACGTTGAATTCAAAACAATTGGTCCCCCTACGTCAATAGATGATTCCCGCAAACTGCATATTTCTATCTATTGCGGTTTTTACATAAATAAAGATGCAAGTTTTTAAAAAAACACCCTGTATATCAACCATATAGCCTAGTTCTCGTGTTTCGTGTTTTATGTGTGTGTTTTTGTGTTTACCGACGACCTCAATTTGAGTGATATGGCATTTTAACCGCCCGATGATGGGATTTTAATCCCGAAACCGGTCACCTAAGACGACAATAGGTTCATTGACGGACAGGCAATATAAACTATTTTATTCAATAAGTGATCCTGGGCTACTAAGCATAATGTATAGTATAACGTTCACAAGACTCCCCCGGGTTGTCACATACTTTGAACAACTGAGTGCTACAAAGTGAAAGAGTGCTGTGTTCAGTTTTTTAGCACGATATCATATTTTCTAAAAGGTAGCTGATAACATTTCATTTATCAACCTAAACTCTGTCAGAAATTTGATTTTAAAATACAATATAAAATACTTCTCGACAATATACTTTGTACGTAGAAATTCCCGTATCCTTCGCACTTCACACGCCAAATTAAGGATCCACGGTGTTGACAGGCCGACTTTAGCTTTGATGGTCGGTTTCGGCGTGTTGAAAGGTCGACGCTGCGACATTATATCGAACAATACCATCCAGATGCGCCGTCACGCCGCTTGACTTCTTTGACACCCGAGCCGTCGCTATTGTACTGTCTGCAGATCATTACAACAAACACATTCTATCGCCTTTGACGACTGACGGCTTCTTCAGACATAACCTCAAACTTACCCTTTTCTCGTACATGTTTTTTGCGAACCAATTTTTTTGTGGGGGGTGGACAATTAGTAATTTCTATGGATCTACAGAAGTCAAATGTATATAACCCCAAACTTATTCTTTTAGTTACATGTTTTGTACGGCCAAATTTTGTGGATTTTGGGTTGGCAATTTTTATTGTTCTTATGTAGATCAAAAATATCAATAGAAGATCAACTATTTTTGCAGTACTATTAATTAAATGTCCAATGATCAAGGATAGCTGGACCCAGTTGCGAATCACAAAAAACTATTGATGTTTCTCAGGCTCGAACTGGCGACCTTTTTACTGTCATGCATGGGAACAATAGTTATACCAGCTCCCTGTATCGTTTCTACAAACGAGGCTCCAGAGACGTTAAACAATGATGAAGTCTTCATTAAGGTAGATTTCATTACGTCGTAGAATTTGTTGACTGACGAAATATTTAAAAACTGAATGTAAGTCAAATAAAAAGTGCGTTATCAATAACGCACATTGAGGCAGCCTTAATGTCTTTCGAGCCCAAAGAGGACAACCACAGCGAAAGATTGGGGTAAACTAAAAGAAATATAACAAAACCGTTTGTACCTTATTTTTACCTTGTGTAGATTATGAGACAAAAATTATAAATTGTCAGTCATTATTTGATTGACTTTTACTTCAATTTTTTACTTAAGAAATAAAAAAAAACTGCTCAAGCAAAAAGCAAAGATCTTATAAAAAAATTGAAAAAAATTATAATTCCATAATTGCATTAGTTGAATGGAGTTTTAATAAATCGCACATAATTAAATGAAATTAACATCACAACTAAAAAATAAAACAAAATGTACAATCGAAGAGTTTAAAAGTATAACACGAAATACTGGCATACCGAAATTACATTTTTAGCATGATTGTGTTGTAAACAGAACTTAAGAACTATAGAATAAATATTTTGCATTTTGAGGATGGTTTCGCACACTAGAATGTCTGTATAGGCCTACTCGAGCCGATCGGCTTCATCGCGCCGTTACGTTATCAGGACAAGTAAACTCACTTATCAACAGATGTTGAAGCTATTGATCACGATACTTTAATTCCAGTTCCATGGAACCAATGTCAAACACAAAGCTATATCCGTGCTTCACAAAGGGAAGGGGCAAGGGCACGAATACGATAATAATAATGTGGTTATTTAAAACAAAGTAGTACTAGTACTAGTATTCGTGCTGATAAATACAGGGTATCCCGGAGCTCTCTGTGCAGTTTCAATTTCGTATGGTTAACCACTTTTTAGGAAAAAAAAGTGAATAAAACAAAATGTATAAAAATATGTACCAAAATGAGTTCTGTGTGAGTAACTAAGGTCTTCAGAGAGTTCCGGGACACACTGTATATTAAAAAATATTAAAATAATTAATCGTACAGCATTAGCTGGGTTTCCTATAAACAATTTCAGTTTATTTCAATCGACTGTTTGGTAAAATAAAGCTAGTTACCTATTTAATCGGAAACAAAAAGTAAATGTAAATAGAAACACGAGTTCTGTTAACTTGCACACCAACCAACGTTTTATTTGCCTAAGTCCTCGAAACTTGGAATATTCATGAGCCGTAGGCTGAGGTGACTTCAATAAATTGAACGGACACGTGATCGCTTGGTTCACACATAACGTTATTCTTAGAGTTTAATAAAATTTCTGCCCTGTTGGATCAGCAGGTTTTGAGTCAACCCACAACAAGAAATAACAAAAATAAGTCACATGTTCTTCATAATATCATACATTGCTATTAGTGATGGTCAAATCTAGAAATTTCGAATCTCAAAACCGAAACCGAAACTTTTAAAAATCGAATCCCGAATCTCAAAACCTAAACGCGAAACTTTTTTAGTGTTTTACTTAGCTGGTTACAAAGGTCAAGGTTACAAAAAATACAGGTAATAATAAAATGTTAAGTATGCAATCAAAACTAAAAGAGATCAACTCCTGACCCTGGACATAACAAATATATGTGACTGATAATTTCACTTACACGTCACTTACAACATAATTTTGTATAAACAACCAACATTAAAATAAATTAAACTCCTAACACCAACATAAATATGAATATTAGATTAATTATAACATATTATAGTGGTTAATATTTCTTTGGGTTTAATAAATATTGATATGAAACTGAATCATACATCTTTCCAGTTATAGTATTTACGATGGCTTTTGAAGTTCAGATTAGCCTACAATTTACTTGTTTAATTTCTGTTCATGGTGATGTTTGTCTATTGTTATGAGCTTGTGAGGAACAGTGTTAAAAACAATAATAATGACACAAAATAATTTCCCAAAGCACGGCTAAAAATAAATAGGCTACATGTTAAATCTTACAATTGTATGACTATAGAGCTCGCCTCAAATCTGAAGGTTGCTGGTCCGATACCACGCGAGTTCGATTCTGGTCCCTGATATTTATCATTGGGCAATCAATTCATACTATATGACAAATGGTCGACGTCAGCTAGTTAAAAGACCAGTGTAAAAAAATCTTACATAAAAACTTAAACAACCAATGGTGAGCCCACAATTACAAAAATACAGTTTGACAAATCAAAACTAAGTAGCCACTGATGGGTTAAAGACGATCAACCGTGTTTGGGAAAACGTCGACAGAACAGCTGTTGCGGCTCGTCTGCTACCAAAAAATCGCATTTTTTCTCTCAGAACATAATTAAACAGAGGGGAGTGCATGTGTGGTGGGTGTGAGTGTGAGTGTGCGTGAGAGTAGTTATGGTGCATAGTACAGAGACAGTTGTGCGACGGTATTCTAGCATGTGGAATGGAGTGCGATAATAAGGTACGATTTATTTATAAAAATTACACGATAATTATTGTTTCATGATCTGTTTGTGAAAAATAGCTCACAAACATTGGGATGTACCAAGTCTTCGATTTACCGAACAATTAGATTAGCTAACTTAGCCTGTCCCAAGTTTTGTTTTGAACTCCTACTTTTAGCTTACCATACTAGTAAGATTAAGTTAGTTTACCACTTTACTATGTTTAAGTTGTTCGAAATTTAAATGCTACTAAAATAGTTAGTAATTAGTTTAAACTTGTAGTATACGACAATTGATTTCAATTCAGTTTTTTAAATGAAATTTGTTATTAAACTGGATTGATTGGATAACTTATGGTAGATCTAAATAACAAGCAAAAATAGTAGTGCAAACCCAACGGTAATTTTAAAATGAATAATAGCTTATGTTTTATTTTAGCACGTTCTAAAACAAATAATGTCAGAAAAGAACAAATTAATACACAACTGTAAGTGTAGATTGCGCATGGTTACTAAATTTAATCACAGAAAACAAATATTCTTTGAGGAATTGTGAAATAAGAACAAGTTTAAAAACAAATTTGTCCACTCAATTTTGTATTATGTTGTTAACTTATCAGCGCCATACATTTTTATGATCATTCTGTAATACAGTTAATGTTAATCAACAGTAATAATTGCAATAAAGAAATTAAAATAAATTAGTATTGACCTAAACAATCATTTTAATTTTATATTACTTGCTGTGTTAACATTATTTTGTATTTTGTTTTAAGCAAAAAAGGCTCAAGATAAAGTTAAATACTTGCTGTTAACACTGAACAAACTGGTAAAATCAGTAACGTATTTATAAAACAAAAAAACTATTGTTCTTTGTATTTTTCTTAACTTTTGTTTAAAACACGTGTAGTAAACTCGGCGTGGCTTTGGAGATCATAGACATCTGAAGTATTTTGAAGTGAATTTTCTGAAACCTTAAGTTAAATATTTTTAAATAACATAAACACACCAGTGTGGTTTCGTCATTCGTTTTTACGATTCTTTGTTTTATTTTTTTACTGTAAATAAAATTCTAAAACCGTGTTGGGTTTATCCAAGACCCTTGGTTTATCTATTTAATTGCCAGACCATGAAGCACCTGATGAGTTTAAACCATCGTAGAATCGGATGAAAAATACTACACCACCATTTTGCAAAATAAACTTGTGCTTTGTTGTTACATATGAATTATTTCGAGTGTCTTGGTGCTTCGTAACGCACTTCAAAACCAACGTATAACCTTTATCTTTATTGATGTATGTAGAAAGTGCTTCCAAACGTGTCCATCGAAGTAAATATAATACAGCGTCGTTGTAATACTTGCATATTTACTTCGATGGTTGCAATCTTCGTGAATCACCCTAGATAGACATATAACTTTCCTTTCAATTATGTTTGATTTATAGATTGCGGACTCTCCAGAGTAAATTAAGCCAAAGAAGACTTGAGTTGTGTTGAATGGATAAGCGTTTGCAACTGCATTCCGATCGACTTTAGTCAGCACAAGTTATCAAATAGCCTTTCTCAATGTTAAAGGTTAGCTGGGTCAATTTTGGAACTACCATAAAGTCACCACTATTGTCAGGATCGGGCCAACAATTCTCAGATAGACAAGCACTATGACCGATCAGCTGTTCTAAACAGTTAGCTGTATAAACAAATATAGTACGTGACCCAAAGTTGTAACCTGATGCATGGTCTAACCGGCATAACTTCACTTAGTCTTCACACTCACACTGGCCCTACATCACGCTCTGTAGGCATCTGTTGGACCAAATTTAGAGTTGTGGTTCGCAATAAAGCTTCAAATTGATAGTTTCACATATAGGGACAGTCTCTCTCGATGGATAGTGTTTTAACTTAGCTCAATATTAATTAATTTTTAGAAATTGACATAGTTGAATATAAACCCCAAATGAATATTCAACTAAGTAAATATTTAAATACAAAGGTAAACTTATCACAAACTAGATTATTTTACACATCAAATATTATAGCACACAAAATAAAGAAGAAAATCAAATTTTATAGAAGCACAATCTGTTATTTTATCTGTTATCTATAATTTAGGGGGTGTTTTATGGGACCATCGCAGTCATTAATTACGATAATTTTGACCAGTAATTGTTACAGCAATAGGGGTTGTACAGTTTAGTTGAGAGTTGGGATTGTAACACAATAAAGGTTAATCAAAATCAGGCCGTGTTTTACTTTCTCCCCCTATACATAGTATATGGAGAAAGTATATGTTTCGTCAAAACTTTGGAGTTTGAGTGGATATATTCATTTGATTCCTCCTCTGGACCCAAAAAAAGTGGGTTTCGAAGTGGTGAGTGTGTGTGTGGATGTGTACAGAGCTACAGACCACAACTGTTGTCCGATTTTAATGAAATTTGGTATGTCATGGTATCTCAAGGAGTTTTTTTTTACATTTTTTTATTTTGATTTTCCATAAAATAACAGAAAAATCACAAAAATGACTTAACGATGTTGATATTTTAGTATTTTATGGCCCTTTAAATTCTGAACAAAATAGTATAACACCAATTCCGGCTCAAGTTCAAAAGTTATTGTAACTTATGATACTTTCCCATAAAAAATTCATAAAATAACAAAAAAATTCATTTTTGGGAAAAGGTGGTTTTGATTACAATTAGTATGTTATAGTCCTTATAATTCTGAACAAAATAGTGCAACCCCCATTGCTGTAAAAATTATGTTTCAAAAGTTATTGCAACTTTGTGATTTTTCCTATAAAATATCATGGTTACTCAGACTGCTTACCTTTTAAAGGTTGTTGACAAGCTAGTGAGAGAAAGTGTGTGTTGTGATGATTGTTAGTACTGTTTATTTTTAAATTATATTTTCTATTATGTTTGGGTTCTTATGGGGAAATAACCATTGAAAATCAAAATGTTAACAAATATGAATAAATACCTGGAGATACCATGGGTAAGTGTCCAAATACCAAATGTAATCATAATTGGACCACAGGTGGTCTATAGCACACACACACAGATATCACTTGAAAATCCACTTTTTTGGGTTCAGGTTCAGGGGGGCTCAAAATTCACCCAAAACTCAAAATTTGTACAAAAACAATACTTTCTCCATACACTGTATAAGGGGAGAAAGTAAAAATTAGCTACATCTGGATGGGATGTGTATGACAGTTGTTGTAGATGTGAGGAATGGCCAGTTACGTGAGGTTGGTGGGCAGACTGGTCCACAACCTGGTGGCCCGGGTTGGCGAAGACCTGGCCGACTGCGCTGTCTTCTGTCGCCGGGGTCTGGTCTACAAACTGCGCAGCTTCAGGCTGAGATATGACGACGTGGGACCGAGCGGAGTACAGGAGTTCTATCTACTTCCAGAGCAATTGGCATTGCTTGGTAAATTGGTCACTTTTGTCATTAACTAAGTGTATTTGTTTTTAGTCATGTCAAACTAGTTAAAAATTAACAATTATAAAATCAAATGTTTATATATAAAGGTTTAAGGTTTCTCTTACGTCAAGGGCGGCATGATCCCCACAGTCCTTAATGCATAATAGTCTTCAACCACCACTGCTACTGATCTCAAACCTCAAACGTTTGGATACTGTATTGGATAGAAGGGAAAATTTCCCACATAGGGAATAACCCATTATAGTAGGTCTCATGGTAAGACCTGGGACCTGGAGCGATCTATTTGATGTTCCCAGAGGCCAAAACACCATCCGTTCAAATTCATATGGGTCTGTTAACACAATAACTCCAGCGAAAATCATTCATTTGAATGCAATCTGGTACAAACTTGTAAACCCATTCAAATGAGTTTCTGAACCAAACTAGCATGATCAAACTATGCGAGTTCCAACAGGATTTTTTTGAATAAAAATTAGTTTTTCTAATTTTTGATCCTAAAAAACATAGAACTTCCCAACTTCCCTCATATCCAACCCATTTTGTAAAGCTTAAAAAAAATAATAATTTAGTAAATTGAAGTGATTTTTTTATTTTTATATTGGTTACAGAGAAAACTCAAAAATTGTAAATTTAAAATTCCATGATGTTAATTCATATCGTGGAGAATAAGTAAAGCTATGGTTCCACAGACACGGAAAATTACGCAGCGTAAATCTGGAGGGGTGTTTCCACTGGCTGCGGAAATAACGTTGCGGGAATTCAGTTCTCTCCGAACTAGCAACGAGTATGGAACACAAATATAATACCATAAATACCATAATATAATATAAGGTAATATTCAGACTTAAATATTTTTAATTGTGTTTGCTTTAATTGTAAACTGATGTTAGACCTAGTTCTTAAAATCATCTTATTAATTTTTTATGAGGATGGTGATAGTAAACATTAATAAAATAACAATTTGAACTTAAATTATAATTTTACTGATACATGAATAAAAAATACAAGCCCCAAAAAGAATAAGGTTATTGAAATAATGTTAGGAAACTAAATTGATCGGTCACAATAATTAATTGATGGCTCTTCTCCGCTGGCGGAATCCGCACTGCCACTGCTCTCAGACCAGTATGATTTGTCCGCCATGCGGAACCGAAAATTCGGGACGCGGAAACTCACGTCAGTGGAACCGCACACAGGGGAACTCCATTAAACCAGTATCGTTGTAATTTCGCAGCAGAAAAAAATCACACCCCATGGCGGAGATTCCGCAGTCTGTGGAACCATAGCTTTAACGGTTGTATTTAGCTGATTTATTGATATATTTTTTGACCAATTTATATTTATTTTGTACTAAGCTAACAACATTTTACTAAAAACACAGTTAATTACCATCCCTGTAGCAGCTAACCTAAGTACTTTTTTACCCTAATGTTATTTAAATAGGGAATAATACTGACATGTTTAAGAAAATATTTAAGTAAAAATCCAATCAGGCAAATGGACATTCCCTTAGTCTGCAGGCTCTCTGCGGCAGGCTTTTTATAGGTATAGCTGAGGAACAGAGTCTCAATGATGTTGAAGACAGAAATATCCTTCTATGTATTTTTTTTTTTTTAATTTGCCACATGCAAACATACCTTTGATTTAATTTATCCATCATGACCACAAAGAAAATGTATTCATTCAAATAATATTAATAATTGATCTGTAACACTATGATTAATTTTTATTTGTGATGATTCATCCAAAAGAATCTATTACATTTCAAACAAATATTTGTGCACTTTCTTATTGAGTGAATACACTGGAATCTGCTATCCCTTTACTCCTCTCACAAATAATGATTATGTAAATCAAATAATCACTCTAAGCAACAATATTTCTGATTTATCTGTTGATTTTTTAGTGGAAAGTGTCCAGAACAAGCCTTGGTTTTGTGAGCTTGACCGCAAAGCAGCACAGGATCTCGTACATAGTGGTTTGTATTGTAATTTTTCTGTATAGCTTTAGGAAGTAACATAGAGCAGGGAGGTTTGTGAGGATAGCAGGCTTAACGATTTACAGTCAACGGCTTAAACAAATAGGAAATAGTCCATTCTGTTTTATTAGCGAATTTCCCATATACGGAATAAGCTATTACCGTAGTACTCATGGTAAGACCTGAACCCGGGGCCGATTTAATTTTTCGTTTTGAGGTCCCTAAAGGCCAAAAACGCCATTCGTTCAAATTCATATGTGTCCGTTAGCGCAATAACTCAAGAAATGATCTGATTTTGATGAAATTTGGTACAAATGTGTAAACCTATGTTTATTCGAACGAGTTGCCAACCAGCATAATCAGACCATGGGAACGGGGGTTTATGGCGGGTTTTATGGGGCCGTAAAAATTGGGGTTTTCCCATTTTTGACCCTAAAAACAAAAAAGTTTTCAATTTCTTACTAAACCATTTTGTAGAGCTTAAAAAAATAAATTATTTAGTATACTGAAGCGCCTAACGGTCTGTATGCCTAACGGTCGGGGAGAAAATTAAAACACTGTTGTAGTTTACAGTAGAACTCCGATTGTCCGAATCAATAGGGACCAGACCCCATTCGGATAATCAGAGTTTTACCGGCCAATTCCAGTAATTATAAAGAACAATCCTCATTTTTGGTACCGAGTAAAACGGGGTAACTTGAGACATTTTTCAACTTAAAAGAAACCCCTACCAAATAATTTTATGGGGAAATCTGCAAAAACTAGAATAAAACATTAGTTACCCTGGTTACATGGTTTCTACATTTAATAATTGGTGTAAATATAGAAATTTTATTTATTTATTTATTTTTATTAGTGTCTCAAGTTACCCATATAAATGGGGTAACTTGAGACACAGATGTTAAAACAACAGTTGTCTCAAATTAGATAATGCAATGGTAACTTGACTGAGACATAATAAAATACAGTAGAGTCCCGCAAACTCGGCGTAATGTGGACTGGAAGGGTGCCGAGTTTGTGAAATGCCGGGTTATCAGGAACTAGGGTTAAAAATAAGAACAGTACATTTTTTTTAAGCTTTTTAACCGCCTTTTTTATTAATATTTTTATTACAAGTCAGTATTAAGTCATCAGATTTAGTACAACAAATCCTTGGTATGAGTTGCGAATGATTTGTCTAGCGCTGGCTTGAGTCCATTTTTAACTCGGACTCAAAAAATCACTAATTTTCTGAGCCAGGTGATGGCCGAGTTATCCAGACTGCCGGGTTATCGAGTGCCGAGTTTGCGGGACTCTACCGTATTTAGGAAAACAAAGGAATACACATATGAACTTACAAACTAAAAAAAAATGTATTTAAAAAAGAGGAAACAATTTTTTCCCCCAATGTCAGACATAACTTAGTAAATTTCGTTCAATTCTGGCACAGAAAAAAAAACCCTCTTATTGAGCATTTTAGGGGGGTTAATACCACCAACAATGTCTTCCCAACGATAGTCAAGTTCATCCTTTTTTCCGGCCATTTCCAGTTAGCCTTGAGAGTCCGCTTCATAGCACTGACTGTAGCACCTTCTTCGTCAAATCAGTTGTCTCAAGTTACCCCACCAAGGACAGAACAGGGTATTTTATTTTTTTATAAATTTTAGGTTAGCAATAGCTTAGTGAGAAGATTATTATTGACAACTCAGCTTTTGAGGTTAGGTTAGTAATAACAATCATTGAATTCCTAATAATAGACTTGATGCTACAAGGTAAGTTATACAGCCTATAATTTTTGAACATCTGTGACTCAAAATAAATAAATAAATAAAGTATCTTACCTTGAATATCACAATATGTCCTAATATGCAGTAGTTAAGGGATCAACTTCCATGACGTGTTTACACTAAGGAAACTCCCAATAACTCATCAGGTATGCCAACAAAAAAATGTAAAAAAACATCCTGCAAATTGTCTCAAGTTACCACACTGTCTCAAGTTACCCCGTTTTACGGTACTAAGTGAACTTTTAATTAATAATAATTTAAATAAGAACATTTTTATAGTTTACAATGCTCATAGTACAAGTGTTCTATACATGTTATTAAGTCAATAGTGTTCCATCAAAGTCCAAAATTACACATTGCCTAAATGTGTTTAATAACAATTCTTTGATATTTTGCGAAACTTATTACTGTAGCTTTACGTTTTTAAAATTGTTGAAGCAAGCGATTCGGATAATTGGAGTTTTACTGTACTTGTTTAAGGATGTATGTTGTTAAAATTTGTCAAATTTATTTATTTCATCTTATACTATTGACGTATGGTCAAAAACACTTTTTACCTTCCCCGTAGCAGCAAACCTAAGCACTCGTTAAATCTAATGTTGCTTAAATTGGGAATAAATATGTCTTATTTGTGGAAATATTTGAGTAAAAATGCAATTAGACAAGTAGAAATTTGCTTAGTCTGCAGGTTTGCTGCGGCGGGGGTATTTTTTTTACTCTACTTAAAAAAAAAAAGAATATTTCACTAGCAATGACAGCATTTTCAACTAAGGAGTATAACCAGCATTTCCTTAACATTTTGGGGTTTCTTATACCAAAGTGAACTATTTAGCCAAGCAAGCATTCTCTCACAAATCCTTTTCTAAAACTTAATTTTTTTATGGTTGATAACAGTTTTGGCCCAACTCAAAAATTTTTGGACATAAATCTCTATTAAGTTTATTCATTTAAGTTTTCTCTCTTATATGAAATGCTTTTGTTGACAGCTCATATTCAGATTGTTGAATTAGACCAGTTTAATTTAAGTGTATGGCTTGAGCTGAACAAATGTAAGTTATTGTCCAAATTGAGGTAGGCTGTTAAGGGTAGAGTAAAGAAATTAAGACATTTCTGAATAAGTAGCCAAAGTCTCTTCAGGGGTTCAAGTTTAAACCATTTTAGACCAGTCTAATCTGAAGTTTGGTGGTTTGATCAGAGTAATGTCATTGGGTTTTGTGGGGTTCAAACTGGACCCAGCTGTACTAGATTCCAACAGGCTTGTCATGTAGCCTATCCTTGATCATGTCCTGACTAAGAACCAGCTGATCTAATTTGATGATATACCAATTGTAATGTGTTTGTCTTCTAATTGCCAGCAATTGAGCTATGCAGTTAAGGGTAAAATAAAGAAATTAAGACATTTCCTGAAGTTTTGTGGTTTGATCAGAGTAAAGTCATTGGGTTTCGTGGGGTTCAAAACTAGACCCAGCTGTACTAGATTATTCTATCTTTTTTACTTTTTCCAACAGGCTTTTCATGTAGTCTATCCTTGATCATTGGTCTTTTCCTTGATCATGTCCTGACTAAGAACCAGCTGATCTAATTTGATGATATACCAATTGTAATGTGTTTGTCTTCCTCCAGGAGGTCCCGGTTGTTTTGTAGTCCGGCCCTCTGCCTCCACCCGGTCCCTCACTCTCACAATCTGGTTCCATCATCGGGCATACAACATACTCATCCGCCAGAGGGAGGATGGTCTGCTAGCCCTAGGGTCCAAGAAGGACCAGGAAATGGTAAGTGTCACAAATCAATGAACCCAAGCAAGTCAAATGATTTGGTTCCATTGGGAATGTTGAAAACAACAAACGACTCACTCTGGTGTTTCATCAGTCATGCGACAGCCAGTAGTGAATGTGTTAAGAAAGTAACCAAACATTAGAACAGGGTGTCCACAGAAAATTTGTCATTTATTTCCATGACCATTTACCATTGATTTCAATGACTCACGAACTTTACTCGAAAATTATAAGGTCTTGATTGATTGAATATATTTCCAGACATTTCGCTCAGTGGAAGAGATGGTACGCCACTACGAGATAGAGCCACTCATCTTGTACAGTGGAGGGGAGCTGACAGGACGGACTAGACTAAGAGCTCCACCTCCAGGGCTAGTTGGAGGTCGCGCTTCAGCTTCCGGCAGCTCAGACGGACTACGCAGGAGTTCCAATGGCTCGGAGCAATCCCGACGTTCCAGCTCGGCATGTTTGCGAACCACTGGAAACTGTGATGTGCCTTTCAGTTCTACAACAGTCAAAAGAGATCTTCCCATTGCTGGTGTTGATATTGCAAAACCCATCCAGAGACATTGTAGTTTGAGAAAGTGTTCCTCAGCAGGGAAAGAAATTGTTGAGGGAGACATCACTCCAGAGGTTTCTACACGGATGAAAGACAAATGTGTGGATTCTACCTTTTCAACGTCAAATGCACACCAGAGGACAAAACGTTCATCAGTTCCTGGGAGGGCTGTGCCTTCTCTCAGCTTGCCTTTGACCAATGATCCTAATTTTGACTCTACATGCTTGTGAATACAACAAATGGACCTTCCTATGTAATCACATGTAAATTTACTTTGAATTATTTCATTTTTCTTCAATCTCAGCTGTCTTAATTAATTTAGACTCTACATGTTTGTGAATGCAACAATTGGACGTTCCTATGTAATCACATGTAAATTTACTTTGAATTATTTCATTTTTCTTCAATCTCAGCTGCCTTGATGTATAGTATAGTTTATAATTTTGATGAATTGAAATTTAGCTGTTGTATATTTAAAATACCCTTAATCCTGGTAATATCTTACCCTTGCACCCAGTCTCAAAGACATTATCGTCTCACGTGATCACGGCAAAATCTTGTCATTCCCCCCCTCCTCCCGTTTACACAGACATCATAGTTAATTTATTATGAATAGCCGAAACTGTGTTAAAAGTGGCAACAGACTGTAAAATTTTAACAAAAAAAAAAAAAAACAATATAGGGCTATGTTTTTTAGTAATTACATATACATTACATTTACTTAGAATTGATAGAAGCGATTGATTACATTTTTTTTTGTCTCAGTTACCTTGATGTGTAGTTTTTAATTTGGATGAGTGTATAATATATAGACCTACAGGTTGGAAAAAGTCCACCCTTTGAAATATTTCAAAAAGTAATAAAGATAGAGCTTCAAGACTTAGTACACAGTTACTGAGCATTTCAACAATTTTAATACATTATCAGTGATGCGCTACTCCAAAGGGGAACATTCTGAACGATAACAGATAAATCAATTAGATTTGTTACATCAATACCACACCTAAACATCTACTTTTTGAAGGGACTACAAGTTTTCTCGTTTTCTGTCATATCATGGTGACGTCCAGCAAGGAGTTAGAAGAAAATCTTAAATGTAAGCATAGGTTGATATGCACATCAAATTAAGGGTCTTTGTTGGTAAAATACAATGCCGCTACCCCGCAACTTAAACAATCAACAAAGTCAAAAATTACTTCTATTCAAAGACCCATTGCATTTGCAATGCTATTATACGTTACCTCCTCAGGGAGGCGTCCGCTAGAAGTCGGAAGAAAATCATAAACGGATGCATAAGTTAAGATGAGCATCAAATTAAAGGTCTTAATTAATAGAATACAATGCCACAAATTTGAGCTCAAAAGAACAACTGAATAAAAAATGGCAGCCATTCAAAGATTGAAAATAAAAGATTCTAGACATCTTTGAACGGCCATTTTTGATTTAAATGTTCGTTTGAGTTCAAATTTGAGTACCTTAGATTTTCTTCTCACTCATAGCAAGCCAGCCCCCTGAGGAGGTAGCGCATCACTGAACAATGTGTTAAAATGAATTTAATGCCCAGTAACTGTGTACCAAGTTTTCAAGCTTAATTACTTTTTGAAATATTTAACTGTCCCGGGAGTTTGTTTCTACTCTTTATTTTGTCACTAAGCATGTATTATTTAAAACACATACACTGCAGCAAACCTGCAAACTAAGCAAATGTCCATTTGTATGAAGGGTTTTGACTAAAATATGTCCTTAAACATTGTAGATTTAATCCCTTTCTAAATAAAATTAGGTTTGATGAGTACTTAGGTTTGCTGCTACAAGATGCTAAAAAAGAAAAAAGAAAAGAATAACATGGGATTTTTAAAGTTTACAGTTTTTTTGGAATCTTCTTTGTAACCATTTGGCATGCAACGACCCTGAGACCAGGAAGCTGCAACGGGACTGGAGTCCGTATTCTTTTCCCTGCGCCATCTCTTAAATCAGCTGTTTTCTATTTAACTGTATTTTAATATTGTCACGACATTAATCCATGAATGCAGCCTTATCGAGATCATCATCTGCTATCCTGGCAAAATTTGTAAAATCCCTGACCGTGGCAAAACCCCACTTCCATGCCCAATGTAAAATGTCTTTATTTGAGAGAAGTTAGGACTAGCAAGTCCTCTCTACCACTTAAAGACATTATCATAGCCCTCAATAATAGCAGGAATAAATTGGCGTTCCATGGTCGTGAATCATTGTCTCCTGTGATCGCAGCAAAATCCTGGACATCTCCTGCCGTCGCGTATACATTACCATCGTTTCCCGTATCTACATAATCTGAAACGCAGCAAAAGCCTAAGTTTTTTGATCACACAAAAAAGCTCGGCTCGAGCTCGATTTCCGACTATGTGCTCAATCTCTTGAGCTTGAAGGCCAGGCACGGCTTCAAAAAAGGATTTTTACTGAAGAACCATTAGTGGTGGTAACCCTAAATATATTGTTGTATAATTTACAATAAAAATAAACTTGTTTAATGAAATAGTAGGCGTATGAGCACTGTCTGAGGAGTTAACTTTATCAACTCACTGGTACTGTATCCACTTGTCACTATCATATGTTTCATAGTTTACCCTAGTTGAAACGATTTAAATACCCCATACGAAACAAAAATATTTTTGTAAAACGTGACTATTTTCCTTGGCAAAATTAGCAGACAACTATTTAAGTGTAAAGTAGATGAGGTAGATTGAAGCTGATTCTTGTCGGCTGATTATAAAGCCGCGTTTACACCGGAGTTAATAACACGTGTTTTTAACAAAAAGTTATTAACATAACAGAATCGCCCAAAGATTTCTCTAAACAAAAGTTAATAACTCGTGTTTTTAACAGAAAATTTCTTGTTATTAACAAGATTTATGTTATCCATCATGCTCTGTCTTAGGGACAAAAGAGCTACTTAAGTCTTGGCTAAGTGTTAGTTGAAGTTAGTTTAGAAGGGAATATCTGAGGTGCTAAAAAGTCAACAGGTAAAAATAACTTTACATTTATCATAACAAAGTAAATTGTAGTAATTTGACCTGATTTATAAATATGCAGTGCCAAGCTCTGTACAGCAAAAATACACGTAGTTCTTGTTATTTGCACCCCCGTTTATGCAATGCTGGAACAAACAAAGTAAAGATTAATTAAGTTGGACGGGTATCTGCAGTTTATCTTTTGGGATTATTGTAATACACAAAAACAAACAAAAGCACAGCTAAATTAACATATACGGTAGTACTCCTACCATCCGGATCACCTAAAGGAAAATTAAAGAGATAAAATTAGCCATTAAAGCTAAGTTTATTGCCGCTTACAGTAGTACATTGCTTATTTTAGTGTGTGCCAATTGTGGCCATTATGTGGCACGTCTTTTGTAGAGTCATATCAATTGATGGACAATGTGTCAATTCCTTTTTAGAAAAATCACACTATCCATATTTGTATTACCTAGATGGGTTTGGTCCCAATGGACCTGGGTAATTAAGAGTTCTATTGATTATCATTTTTTGTTGTTCTTTGAAATTTACCATAGGGTTCTTATTTATGCACTGATAAATATACAGGGTAAAGCCCTGCACTGCACGGGTTTGCTATGTTCCGAACCATAACAGATAAATCAATTAGATTTGGTACATCAATATGACATCTAAACATCTTATTTTTTTAAGGGACTAGCCTATATAAGTTTTCTGTCATATCATGGGGAGTTCCTGCAAGGAGTCAGGAGGAAATCATAAATATAAAGATAGGTAAGGTCTTTGTTAGTAAAATACAATGCTGCAAACCCGAATCAAATGGAAATCTGAGTAAAAAATTACAGCTTTTCAAAGATTCATTGAATTTGCAATGCCTACTCAAGTATTGGCTTTTGTTTGGACAGGCATACGTTTTCTGTCATATCATGGGGAGTTCCTGCAAGGAGTTAGGAGGAAATCTTAAATATAAAGATAGGTTGATATGTACCCTACATCAAATTAAAGGTCTTTGTTAGTAAAATACAATTCTGCAAACCCGAATCAAATGGAAATCCGAGTAAAAAATTACAGCTTTTCAAAGAGTCCTTGAATTTGCAATGCCTACTCAAGTATTGGCTTTTGTTCGGACAGGCATACTCTACCTCCTAAGGGTCCGCTAGAAGTTGGAAGAAAAATACAAGGATTAGGCGCTGACTACGAATTGACAGGCAAAGCTCCCTCAAAACACTTAATGCTTTTTACCATGCAGTTGGCATTCTGGGTTATAGTAGTATGTTTTCTGTGCTTAAAGTGTACAACTTTCTTGAATCCATATTAAATATTCGTTCGCTAAGAGATTTATGGATACAGTGGTTCAAAATGGTTATAAATATAAAATTCCTCTAAAAATTAAAAAAAGATATGTATTAAAATTCACAGAAACCACCGAAAATATGATTTTTACACACAGTCACACATTTCCCAAGTTTTCACGACAGTAAAAATTCACCCATAGTTCCTGATTTTCCTGGAATTTCTGGTTGACGACAACGTTGTATGAAAGGTTGATACAGTACTAGCCTATGAAATGTTATAAACCCTTTTGAACAATTTTGTTGTGAATATGGACTTAAAATTCCAGTTGATAGCCAGTAGAATTTAATCATGACTAGCACCAACACTTCTACTGAATAGGAAAAGGACAAAACGAAGATAGTTTGACACAATTTTTGGGGAAAACTACAGTAGCAAGAGCATTTTTTGCTGGACATTAATAAATCTAGTCTAGAAGGGTTAAAGTTGCTTAATCAATGGCTAGACTAAGACACACACCTGTCAATGAGTGACGCCCGCATGCTCGTTGTGATCGCCGAGGGCTGAGCATCATTCAGTTTGAAGACACTCTCTATAACAGATATCTCTGTAGAGGTAGTGTCCATGCCACAGAACGCACACCAGTCATTGACCACCAGTCCAGCAGCTATCACTTCAGAGCCTCTGTTCACTGTTCCTGCCTGTCAAATAAAACATGGGTTACTTCAGGAAATGCAGTAGAGCCTGTTCCAGCCTTAACAATTTTAAATGGAATAACAAACAGGTTAAGAAAATAAAACACTGAAATGCATCCTAGAAAAGGAATAAATAGTGAACTGACTGCACAAAGTGAGCTTTAGGGTTCAGGGTGCCGTTGACTACGCAATGCAAACTACAAACTCACAACCAACAATATTTTAGAACATCTATCTGCTTGAACTAATAAATTCCAGTGTATCTGTATCCTTGGAAGAGTGGTGTTTTTGCAAACACTTTGTTGCTAGTGTATTCACTCAAAAGATATTTTAAAATAGGCTAATTCTAATTTTTAGGATGGCAAAAAGTCCCAGGTTGGTTACAATGTATTAAAAAAATAATGAAGAGAGAGACTGGGACCGTGGTGTCGTACTGTAATCCAGCTACTTGGAGGTCTCAAATTGTGGTTATTTATAGGCATAATCTGTGGATGCGATACCGGGTGTCCGGCAAATGGGCTCAGCCCAATTCCCGCATATTTCCCGAGTAAATTCCTCATTTTCCCGATTCATTTTTTAGGGTAACATTAGCAAAATGAATCAAATTGAATATATTTGATATGCAATACAAACAAATACCCCCGCCGCAGCAAACCTGCAGACTAAGCGAATTTCCATTTGCAAGATTTGATTTTCAATTAAATCTATTTAAATAAAATTTGATTTAATGATTACCTAGGTTTGCTACTACAGGGAGGGTAATGGTACGTTGATGGACTTTGGACTGATGTGACTGACAGAAGTCTAACAAAGGGATGGTTTGATCAAAGCAAAGCTTTGATCAAAGCAAGGCAAAGATCAAAGCAATGTAACGAAAGTAACTTTTTACCGTTACTATTAAACGTAACTAACGTTTTGCAACAATTACCAATTACAAGTTACTTTTTTAAGATGCAACGGGTGAGTTACAGACGTTACTAAAAAATTTAACGATTACAGTAGGCCTAAACGTTACGTTATTGTAATCGTTACTCCCAAGTCTGAAAAAAATTATTAATGCTGCACCCTATTGGTAAACCTTATAACTTTTTCTACAGTCATCCAACAAAGTGGGCTTCTTTGCGCAAATTATACAGTAGACTCTTGATAATTCGAAATTGGTGGGTCAAGCATATAAATTTGAATTATCAAGAGTTTTGAATTATCAAGAGTTCGATTTATTGGGAGAAAAATAAACCATTCGAATTACAGAGAGTTCAATGTTTAATACATACAAATGTACAGCACGTTACAATAGAACATAATACCGTATTTTAGTACACTTTTAAACAATCAACGGCTTATTTTTCAGTTACTGTAGTTGCAAAGAAATCTGTTATTTAGCGCTATATATTTCACCAATAGCTGAACTATCAGCTGTTGACAACTACGTTTGTGCTCAGAGGATGTCGCGTAATCTAGAGATCAGATTGCCAACTTAGAAAAACAAGTCAGCGAACTAACTCAGATTACTGCTCTAACCAAACAAACGTCAAAACGTCCAACACTAGCCTACCATGGGAACAGGATGTACTGTACTGTATAGTTTCCTGTTATAACAGCAAGAGATCACTTCGAATTATAGAGTGTTTTGCCGACTAAACTTCGAATTACTGCGTGACTTTGATTTGTAGAGTGTTTTTTCGACGAAACATCGAATTACAGCATGACTTCGAATTATAGAGTGTTAACCGACGAAACTTCGAATTACTGAGTTACTTCGAATTATAGAGTGTTTTTTCCGACGAAACTTCGAATTACTGCGTGTTACAAATTGACCTGCCCTCTATTTGGACTTTGAAATACCGAGTGTATCAAAATGCATGGTAAAAAATTGAAATATTGAGAGATTCTCTAGGGACTGAGCTTTCATTTTGAATTATCGAAAGTTTTGAATTATCAAGTGTTTGAATTACCAAGAGTGGACTGTAGTATACATAAGGCCTTTTTTGGCACACAGTTTTTACTTTGGCGCACACCAGTATTCCAACCAAACAACACAAAAGAGCGTGCTTTTATGATGCACACAATCCGTGTACGCTTGAAAATAGGTTGGCAACACTTAAAGATATTACGACTACGATCAGCTGGTGCAGCATTTCCCATTTCGTTCAATGTTTGGATTTAACCTAAAAACATGTTGTAAAGTGTTTAAAAGACTAATTATTTATGATTTATAGAAACTGTAGGAAAAATATAATGTGTAACACGAGTGCAAACATCCTTTACTGCACTCGAGAAACTTTTGACACTCGCCTACGGCTCGTGCATAAACATTTCTCTCGTGTGCAGCAAAGTTCCACTTCGCCCACTAGTTACACAAATAACTATTTAATGCTAATGAAAATCATAGAACCAACTTGTCTAGTGGAAACAGCTGTCAAAATTATTTAGTTCATTTCAAATATGAATACTCATAAGGTTAACATAGGAAATTCCAGAGCCACTGGGGTGGAGCCCGAAAGGATTTTTGAGATAAGGATAGGCTTATATGTTAATCGTTCAGCCCAATCCGACCAGTAGATAATGCGTGATTAAACTTCAAACAAACAAACACCCAAACTTTCACATTTATAATATTAGTATGATAATTGACTCTCTACAGTTATGACAACTAGACGTGGCTCTCCCTCACTAGTAGCAGGAACGGACTTTAACTCACCACTAGAGGTACTTGCAGCAGAGATGATAGTTCGTCCTGGTCCTGTGCCGAGGTCTGCGGATGTACGAGGCCCCCCTGGTTGGACAGAGCACAGTACGAGCCGACCAACACATTGCTGGCCACAGTCTGACGGAACACTTCTACCTTCAAAACATCTGCTAGGATCTCTTCTGTTTCCTGAACAATAATTACAGACAAATGTTGATTAGACTAAAGCCAAGTACAAATGCTACAAAATGTTTTGGAACAAAGTAATATTCCTGTTCCTCGACCATTCACTTGAAATGAAATTTTTGTATTGAAAACAAATGAAGTCTAGGTGTGATTGCAGTTTGTCATAGCTAGCTTTAGTGACAATGACAAATAGAGCAGTAATTGATCAGTACCAGAACTCACAGTCACATTGCTCAGTGACCCACATGTCAGACCAAATTGAGATACTCAATCAATAAAAACGGGTTCGCGAACTCGTTCGAATAAATGTAGGTTTACACGTTTGTACCAAATTTCATAAAAATCGGAAAATTTTTGCTTGAGTTATCGTGCTAACGGACACATATATAAATAAATATATATATATATAAAAATTAAATATATATATAAATATATATATATCCCGGGTCCAGGTCTTACCATGAGTATTACGGTAATAGCTTGGGAAATTCGCTAAAAGTAGGCCTACAGACTTTTGTAAGTGTCTTTGTTTTTTTATACGAATAGCACCTAGTTTTTCTTTTTTCACAAAGAAATGTCATAACTCCTGGTCTTGGTATTTTATCTTTATAAGGGAACAGTCTACACTCTTGTCTTGTACTATATAACGTTGCAAAATCATAGATTTGTCATTAGTACCATCGATTGCTAGCCTAAGGAAAAATGGCATCCAGAATCAGTACCGCTCTGCATTGAACCAGCAAACTTCATATTTGAAGGTAAGCACGTTCTACCTGGCTACTTACATATATGTTTTCAAGTAATGCTAATGCAAATACTCTAACAGAACCGATATGGATCATAAACATAAAACAAATGACGTTGCTGGCCCAAATCCTATACTAATAGCATTATAACATATGGTTTAGATGTTTCATTTAAGCAATGTTAAATAATTTTTACTTTCAGGCCAGTAATATTGTTTATGTTTATGATTCATACAGGGTCTGGTCTAGTATCCGTGATTGCTACCCATCAACTCACCCTGTCAAGGTCAGGATGTACGAGGGCCACGTAGTCATTACATGTGATAACATTACCTAGCGCTGACAACCTTTCTTCCACCCTCTGTAGCTTGACCGAGTCAGGCAGAGAGTTGCGGATGTGCTGCAGCTCTGTGTCCGTTGTTGAGCTGGGCACCAGTAAACCATGTCTGTTGCCTGAGTATACATACGTTTATGAATACAACATAGAGTAAAAGGAATCTCTAACTTAAGGCTAGGATAGCTAAGACGCTGATGATAACAAAGGTGTTGGGGAATAGAGTTTTTAGTTTCTCTTCCCTGAGAAAATGTCTAATAAGATAAATTTGAGTTTAAGTCCACATTTTTATTCAATTAAAAAACAGTACAACTACATTACCTTATGTACCTATTGCCGCAAAAGAATGTACTCTACCTACATAAATTAATTTTAAATTTTAGTGGTACCAATGTAAAAGTTTTTACGGGACCTTTGAAGCAAAGGCCATATTGCCAGGAAAAATTTAACTCACCAACACACAGCCTTCCAATGATTCGACAACCAGCAACTGAAGCATGAATCACAGGAATTGTTTCACTCAACTCAGCTTCAAAAACGCTAAAAAAATAAAATACACAATAATTGAGTTAATAACCAATCAGCTTAATTTTCTAAATTGCCTCCTGGATTACTTGACATTTTATTACAAGAGGTTTAGTTACCTTCTTCAGTCCAAGTAATCCACAAGTCGTCCATACCTATCCTTTAGGCCAATTAATTTCACTACATTAATTGCTGAATAAATAAGTAAACAACGAAAAGTAAAAACAATGACATATTATAGTTTGTTTTGAAACAGATGTTTAGTTAAAATAACATTCATTTGAAAAAAGAACTTGTCACCTGTAGAAGGAATTTTAAAAAGTAAACTTGCTTGAAAGCTATACTCAATTCCACGTTCACCGTGCAGTACAGGTCTTATGGAAGATAGCCTTGCTACTACCATTACTGTAAAATTCATGTTTTCTGTCATGCGGGATGCGTCAACAGTCCTCGTGACTCTCGTGAAGGCGCTCAAGTTCATTTTTCTAATTTCCGTGTGTTTTATGGTATTTATCAATATAGACTGGTAATTTGACTTAGACTAATAAAAACTATACTGTATGTTTTACTAAATATAATGGCCTGGTAAGTTTAACACATTCGATGCGGCGGGTCCACCGGTGGACCCCGCGCGTCTCAGCTGAGGAGCTGAGGTCCACCGGTGGGGGAGCGCGCATTGCATTGTTTGCCGGATCAGTGTGGTTCAGCCATTGTCGGGGGAACGTTGTAATCTTTACCAGCCTGTAGCTTATAATGCGAGCTTTATTCTGGTGTAGGTTGGTACAAAGATTTCCCGTTAAATCCCGTCTGGCAATGCTTTTGTCCCGTTTTCGGGGATTTTCTCAGTTCGAGCCGTATTACAAAGACTCTGGTTAATGATCCAGGCAGTGCTGCTACCTTTGGGTGTTTCAGTGAACTACGTCCACTTTCGGAGTAATGCAGAACAATCACCACTGCTCTTTTGTGATTCGTCTTACTGAGATATTTCAATACCAATAGCGATCGCTGATTCAGTTAGCGCGTCGGGGCTCCGCCCGGGCCTCGCCGCAATTGGCGAGCGCCTGTTTAAAGGTTTTCAGCAGCGAATGTGTTAATGTTTAACCACAGTCAGTATCTTAAATTGGAATTAAGCTTTGAACTCTATAAAATAGGAAAATTTGCTGTGAATTGATTGGAACAAGTTGCCGACTAAATTAATAAGTTAGCCTATTGGGTAGGCCTATAATTATACTACTAAAATAATTAAAAAACAATTCAAACAAATAATTTAAGTAGCCTACAACTATTTTCTTTTAATAATAAGCCTCTGTCAAAGAAATATGATTTAAAAATATAAATTCTGTGGCAGATAAATAAATGGTAGTTTATTAATGTCTTGGGTTGAAAAAGGGAGATTTCCTACAGGAAATCCTGTTTCCACGATTTCCACGCAGAAATGGATGCAGAAACTTTAGTCTGGAGCCAAGTAAAAAGAAACGTTGCACCGTCGTTGTTATAGATAACGCGTCTTATCACAGCCGTAAATTGGTAAAAGTACCCAACACGAAAACAAAAAAAAAGAAGACATTAAGAATTGGTTACTAGACAAAAACGTCACCTTCCCACAGGACAGCTTAAAGAAAGTACTGCTTGCTGAAGTGCAAAAAATTAAGCATTTGTTTGACCTTTATGCCATCGATGAGATAGCGAAAACTCATAATATCGAAATTGTAAGACTACCTCCTTATCATTGTGAATTAAATCCTATGGAACTAGTCTGGAGCCAAGTAAATAGAAATGTTGCAGCCAACAACAAAGCGTACGATGTTAAGCTTATGGAGCCGTTAAAATTGACGTCGTTTTATACCTGCTGGTTTGTTTATGTAATAAAATGAAAGTTCAGAATGTGATCTTTCAAATGGTATATATATTATTCTCACCTGAGTTGATAATAAGGCTAACTTAAGTGTTTTTTTTACCGTTAAAATAATTTCGGCCCATACCGTCACCAGATGCTGGCCATTCATAAGATGGTGGCCATTCTAAGCACCTACGTCAAACCGTCACTAGACGACGGTTGGCCACTGCTAGGGTTACAGTAACTCATTTCATTGAAGCTGAACACTGGACAGAAGTGCTCGTAAGTACACTGTAGGTCTAGATACTTATCCCATTGCGGGTGCGAGGCAAGAGAATATTTCCCAGCTGGCCGAGTTGGCTGGTTGACCAAGTAAGTTGCACGACATGGCAACCGCACTGTCGGTTTCGCTACTAGCAACGCCTAGGATCTAGGCCGTCGATTTTGGGGCCATAAAGGGGTAGACTTCCGTATCTGTTGGCACAAACAACCGAATGAAAATATCGATCATATATCGATTACTCGATATATCGTTTGGTTAGTTAGGTAAGGTTAACGTAACCTAACTAAGCAAAAAATATAGCCTATCGAATGAAATAATCGATATTTTCATTCGGTAGTTTGTGCCAACAGATATGGAAGTCTACCCCCAAAAAGTGTTAACACATCAGTTATTTGCATTCCGTGGAGTATCTGTGTCTACGCATTTAATCTATGCTCTAACCTACAAACAACTAGGCCTAGCCTTTTCCGTTAGGTTAGGTTCACTTCTTCACAGAGCTGCTGGTATTGTAAAACGGGCCAAAACACAATCTAATATTTTAATTGAGAATCATAGACTTACCTGTAAAAGTTCTCAGATCCACCGATAGCAACCAAACAATAAGAATTCGTCAATTTGCTAAAGACTCCGACTTCATTGTTGTTTTCAAACTGAACGCGTGTAGCCATTTTAATGGATTCAATACAATGCAATTCTCCAGTTTCAAACGGGTCAATTTCTTATAGAAGAAGCTGCTAAGCAAAAAAATGATGCTCGTTCACTGATTTGAATAATGAATGACTTAAATTTGAGTGTGGTGCAATCTGGACCTGAAAAGGTGTGCTCTCCACTCTCAGCAACCAACAACTTCAACTTCTGAGTTCAGAGACCTAACCTCAAACAAACCTCAACCTTGCTTCGAGTTCGATCGAGCGAGTTGAGTTGCTTCACATCTGTTTCAATCACGGATTACTCCTCTCAAATGCGCATGCGCGAGTAAACCGTTCTGTGGAACTGTGACATATATCAGATTTATCTGTTACAACGTTTACGTTTACAAGGAATTGAATGTAGCATGGTAGCACACAGGACAGGTTGTAACTATTACCAACTGAACTAGTCTGCTGTAATTTGAAATTAATTTAAGGTATTCTTTTCCTTAGTTGTAATATTTCAATACATTTTTATGTCTACTTTTAACTTAACCAACCCATATTAATACAAGATGATGACACAGGTAAGGCAATTGAAAAAAATCCAATTCCACTCCATCGGCCATTTGTATCCGTTACGTAAGAAGGTAACTTAGACGCAGCGAGACTTACGTATATTCTTAAATTAACAGCTAGGCTGAAACCATCTGTTATAGGTCAGGCCAACTTCATCTCTGTGTTACAAAGGAACCTAACTTCTCACATTCCTTTTTTATTATTCCACAAGCTTTACCATAATCACTAGTAATGATTCAATTCATTGCAAGTTAAACGTTGTAACAGATAGATATGATATCTGATATAAGTCACAGCTCCACGGAACAGTTTACTCGCGCATGCGTATTATGAGAGGAGTAATTCGCGATTGAAACGGATGTGTTCCTTCTCCTGCTTCTTGCTTCAGTGCAGTGTTTCCTTCTTCCTTCAGTCAAGTTCAGTCAGCGCTGCTTCTTCTTTGCTTAGCGAATGGCTTAGCGTTTGCTTACTTCGCTCCAATCCAATCTATTATTGATCCTTTATTGATCAATAAAAGATTGCCAAGATTGGAATAGATAATAGTTATTTGTGCAACTAGTGAGAAAAGTGAGCCTTAGGCGAGTGAGGAATGGTTTCTCGAGTGAGGCAATTGTACTTTGAACTCGAGTTGCACATTATACTTTTCCTACAGTTACCATAAAACAAATAAATTGATGAAGAAACATAACCTATTTTTACACAGAAGTGAACTTTTAATATAACATTTAATGTGAAGTGACAAATAACTTACAACAGTACAACAGCTGACCAGCTGATTTTCAGCCAGTGCTGCCAACGTATTTCGCGCGCATACGACGTTGCCTGCATGTTACGCGCTCACTATTTCGTGCCTTCACGTTGCAAATCTGGAGTGAGACAAAGTAATTAGAGTGAGACAATGTTAACATTGTCTCACTGATGAGCGAATTGGCCACTTTGCTTTCTCAAATCAGTGAGGGAATATGTACATTGTTAGGTAACTGTAGGAAAAATCCTTTATTTATTGATCTAGTACCTGGGGACCGAGCTTTGCTCGGGGAAAATCATTAGTTTACTCTGAAAGCAGTCTTAGTATTGCAGATACATAAATCCATTCCCAAACTCCACACTGCTTGCCTTTACTACTTCCTTCACCAATTCCTACGTCTCAGACCTGTTTCCCTCCCTTCCCATAGCATTTTAGGAATGCTAATACCTTAATTTAATTTTTCTAATCGTCATAAACAGTTACCACACTCTGGACAGCTCGCCTTGACTACTTCCATCACCACTTCCTACGTTGCGGACCTGTTTCCCTCCCTTCCTATAGCATTTTTGGATTGGAAATACCTTAATATAATCATCATTAACGGTTCCCACACTCCGGACTACTCGCCTTGACTACTTCCTTCCTTGCTAAGTCACGGACAAGTTTCCCTCCCTTCCCATAGCATTTTATCATTGCAAATACCTTAATCTTATCGTCATAAACATATCCCACACTCCGGGCAACTCTCCTTTACTACTTCCTACGTCGCGGATCTGTTTCCTTCCCTTCCCATAGCATTTTAGGATTGCCAATACCCTTATCTAAGGGGCGGTTTGGGAGCTCGAGCCCAGCTAGTACGCGCCTAGTGTTGGACGCGCCTAACTTTAGTCCCCGGACCAGAAACCAGGCTTGGGAGCTCGCGCCTAAGTTGAAATGGTCGTAGATCAAGTATAGTCGCGCCTAAGTTGCAGCGCGGCTAGATGGACAGGGAATCGCGGGGAATTCAGGTTTTGACGTTGGCAACGGCCATTGCAGAACCCGTTACCGTTGACAACAACAAAAGATGAATACTTATTGAAGATGGATACAATTTTATCGTGGTATATCAATGGTGGCTAATTAGTAGACTATAGTGTATGTTTCTGCATTGTACCATTGCAAAAATGTAGTTTTGTAGTTTTGTTGTGTACATCCCAATGACTGAAGAACCGTAATTGTTTATATTAAATTCTTTTAAGATCTAACTTTATTTTCACTTTACGATTTATAATTATTTAATCAGTTGTCCTTAAGTACTACTAGTTGTCTTTTAAGTACTACACCTTATAAATACGTACAGAGCAACATAGGATTAACATCGGAAACTCGGTTTCATGCAATAAAAAGCTTCAAAATTAAACAGTAATTTCCCAGTACAATATAGGGGTATTGACAAAAAAATAATAAAAAGTAATTGCGGAGGTTATGATTGTGTGAAGCCAAGGTAAATGTAAAAAAAAAACTTTTAATACAGTACTTAGAAATAGTTATTTGTGCAACTAGTGAGAAATGTGAGCAATTGACTCACTCGAGAGAAATCCTTACTCACGAGCCGTAGGCGAGTGAGGAATGGTTTCTCGAGTGAGGCAATTGTACTTTGCACTCGAGTTGCACATTATACTTTTCCTACAGTTACCATAAAACAAATAAATTGGTGAAGAAACATAACCTAGTTTTACACAGAAGTGAACTTTTAATATAACATTTAATGTGAAGTGACAAATAAAACAGTACAACAGCTGACCAGCTGGTTTACAGCCAGTGCTGCCAACGTATTTCGCGCGCATACGACGTTGCCTGCATGTTTCGCGCTCACTATTTCTTGCCTTCACGTTGCAAATCTGGAGTGAGACAAAGTAATTAGAGTGAGACAATGTTAACATTGTCTCACTGATGAGCGAATTGGCCACTTTGCTTTCTCAAAACAGGGAGAGAACATGTACATTGTTAGGTAACTGTAGGAAAACATTGTTGTCAATTAAAATTTTTTTTTCCCGACACTCTTTAATCTAATTTTCCTAGGGAAGTATCTATTACCGTAGGTAGCACTTAGTTCCGGGACCGATAAACTTTTCCATTTTGATGTCCCTAGAGGCCAAAAACACTGTTCGTTCAAAATTTTATATATGTATAGCCTATATATAAATGTATTATATATACGTCCATAAACGTGATATCTTGAGTAATTTTTGTCTGATTTTGATAAAATTTTGCATGAAAGTGTTAGGCGCGATTTTCGTAATGAGTTCGCGAACCAGCATGATCAGACCAAGGGAACCCGGAGTTGTATAGGATAAAAATAGTTTTTTTCTCAATTTTAACCCCTATAACATAAATCTTTGTCTTTAAAATATTTTAAAGAGTAATTTAAAGAGTAAAGAGTATTTTAAAGAGTATAAAAAACAAATTAATATCTTAAAATGTTTTGTACGGTTATTGGCTACAAAGACTATTGTTAAAATTGTAAATTTTAAATTCCCATGTGATTCTTATGGAGAATAAGTTAACTGTTCTAGTGTGGTTGTTTATGGATATATTTTTATGAAACTTGGCAAATTTATTTATTTTTTATAAAGCTGTTAATATTTTGTTAAAAACACACTTTATTACCCTCCCTGTAGCAGCATACCTACACCGTAGGTAGTTTCGTGCTTGTTAAACCTAAAGTTATTTAAATAAATTTAATTGAAATCTCTTTGGAGCTATTTCGAAATTCGCTTAGTCTGCAGGTTTTCTGTGGCGGGTTATTGATATACTGTATATATTTTCTTATACTCCAAATAATCTAGGTACTCCATTTTGATGTAACTAGCACTTGGTCAATGACACTGAACTGAGCTCTATCACAACGCAATTAAAAGATAACGATTATGACTGTGAGCTATTTGCAGTTTTTTATGTTTTGTTTACTATCTCTTCACTCTTTCGTAGGGGGTGAGTGGGGGGTATGCATGTGGCTGCTAATTATTTCCTTACTAATAAAATATTTACAATTAAGGTACGGGTGCTTATAGCCAAACTCTCAGTTGAAAGAAATTCAATTTATGGTCAATATTTGTATTACAGTTAACAGTAAAAACACAAACCAAATAATCTTTTGTTAAATTTAGCTTTCTGCAAGATTTTTGTTTTATTTTGAACAACAGAAAACTAAAAAAAAGTTTTATCAAATATACTTTGAGAGTAATGAAAATGTTCGGAATTTAATAACGAATTCCAATATAACATTCTTTTAGTTAATATGTAAACAATTAACTTGCTAATGAGCTAATACCGGCATGATGTCGACTTAGACCTGCCCCCTGGCAGGACTAAAGTTGGGGACTAAACTCACTGATTTTTATGACGAAAACATATCTCTTAGTCCCGAAATTGGTCTCCCAAACCCACCGAGACTATCTCTTAGGCTGGCGCCTAAGTCTACTTGACTCCCAAACCAACAATATTTAGGCGCGAGATTATCCCTGCACAAGTTAGGCGCGCGCCTTACTGATCCCGAGCTCACAAACCCGTTTTCGAGGTGGCAGCCTAAAATACCGGAAATATCCGGATTTAGTCGCGGACTAGCGCTAATACCGAGCTCCCAAACCGCCCCTAATTGTCATAAACAGTTCCCACACTCCGGACAGCTCGCCTTTACTACTTCCTTCCTTGCTAAGTCACAGACAAGTTTCCCTCCCTTCCCATAGCATTTTATCATTGCAAATACCTTAATCTTATCGTCATAAACATATCCCACACTCCGGGCAACTCTCCTTTACTACTTCCTACGTCGCGGATCTGTTTCCTTCCCTTCCCATAGCATTTTTGGAATGCCAATACCCTTATCTAATTGTCATAAACAGTTCCCACACTCCGGACAGCTCGCCTTGACTACTTCATACGTCACGGACCTGTTTCCCTCCCTTCCCATTTCATTTCATTTTAGGAATGCTAATACCTTAATCTAATTTTTCTAATTTGTCTAGGTTGCAACTTCGACACTACCTACATGTTAAGGATTGTCTGACGAGGTATGTTTTAACCATTATTTGTCATATTACGCAATCCTGGGGCTATAAAAATGAATTTTAATTTTTCTAATCGTCATAAACAGTTCCCACACTCCGGACAGCTCGCCTTGACTACTTCCATCACCACTTCCTACGTCCTGGACCTGTTTTCCTCCCTTCTTCCACTACGAAACAATTTTTTTTAAGTGGATAAAGGAGGTAAGTACAGTAGAACCTCTTTAATCCGAACTAATTGGGACCAGGGGTAATTCGGACTAGTGAATAGTTCGGATTACAGAACATATTGTTGTTTTTACATAACAATAGCTAAAACATGGCTAAAATTGATCTAAATTATTTTGGTAAAAGTGAAAAAAATGTGTTATAAATTAAAATAGCCTACAGTGTTTATTTAATACAGTAGTAAACATGGTGAATAAACGGTACTGTACATTAAATACCGTATACTATAAAGAACTGCTGTACTGTGTATAGAGTACAGCAATGAGGGGTTCGGATTAGTGGACGTTCGGGGGTTCGGATTAAAGAGTAACTGAGAGTTACTGTAATAGAAAAGTAAAAATTTTAATAGTAAGGAACATTTAAATTTTTATTAAGTATTGTGCAACAAATTTTACTTCTCTGCCCTTCCTAATAGCGTTTTAAGAATGAAAAAATATAAAAAAGTTATAACCTGCAAACTTTAGGTTAATTTATCTCAAAAGTAACAAAATGTTACTTACCCCCTTCATCCACTCACCCCTTCAATTAATAACTTTTCAAATAAATGTGGAAAGGTGTAGGAGTGAAAATTTAAAAACGTACGTTTTCATGTCCCTGGCCTTTTACTTCGTAGATACTGGATTTGTAGTTTATTATTATGTGTTTTAATAATTTTTGGGACGGGGGCAACATGTTACACACATTTATTTGGTTTTAAATAGGTTCTAGGTATTTTTTTCGTATTTTTAAAGTCTCAAAATTCACGACCATGACGTGTCCCTAGGGTACATTTTCCAACTTTCACGCTGTTTTTAGACTAATTATTCATGCCGAAATATATAAAGCCATATTTTTATGTCATCAATGGTTATTAAACTTACAAAAAAGGAGCATATTATAATTTTATTGTCATTGCAAACTGACTACCATGACAAAATAAGTCTGTCCCTCGATTTGGCGTCACGACCATTTGGGAAAAATTTTCAACTTTGGAGCCCGACAGTGGCAAGCCTGGCGTCGATGGAGTCAGTTGGTTTGAGAGACTAGTTCGGGGTGTACGTCAGGATTGTAGTGCCGGTCGTTTCGAGTTGAAAGGAGGAATTACAAGATTAATAAAGGAAAGATTGTGTTTTTTGTAATTTTGGTGTGTCCATGACCGTACGTAGTCATTCGATGAAGTAGACATGGTGTTAATTTTTGTTTATAAGATATTTCAATTGCTAGATTAACCTAGAAGTCCACTTTGTATCCTCGAACATGAGGTGCAGGGCTACCGCCAGAACAGAGCCAAATAACACGTAATTTCACGACCAAAGTTTCACGACCATCGCGGGTTTTTTCACGACCAATCCAGCCTTATGGATTATAGTGTGTTTGGTCGTGACAATAACTTTAATATAATTGTGAATTGAACAGTTTAGTTCAATTGAAACATATATTTTTATTATAACTAACAGTATAATTGAAGGATTGCCTAGAAAGATTTAAATTATTCCAGACAATTCACGACCGTACCGCTTGTCCCTGACCATCACGTTTATGATTTCTATCATAACAATTTCAAAAATTAAAATATCGTCATATTTCAATGTTTTATACACAAAAGAAGCACACCTCTATAGAAACATAACGATTTTTCGGGTCTCAGGTAAGTTTTTTCGTAGTTATACAAACTTAAAAAGATTTTATTGGCTTTTTTTCAATGTTTTGAGTTTTTTTATTTTTTTCTGGAAAGACCAAATATACTAAAAGCTTAGTGACCTTTTTATTGTATAATGGTCATAAAAGTAAATTAGTTTATAGCAAAACATAGTTATAAAAATAATATTAACTATTTTTAATATTCATTTAAACGTCCGTTATGGTCGTGACAGGATTTTGTGTTTTTCCACTAAAGATGCTCTTTAAAAAAATAACTACCAAAGATATTGCGTTGCCATGGACATTTTATGAAACTTCAAATGTTAATGAAATAAAAAAAATAATAAAAGTTTTGAAAAAAGAAGAAAAAAATTTGCAAAGTGCTTTTCCTGAAAACGTACGTTTTTAAATTTTCACTCACAGACGCCCCTAACTTATAACATTTTTAGCAGCAAACATCAGTGGCACTCTATTTCAAAGGTTTTTAAAAGAAGGAATAAAGCAAGTTATACAAGTCAAATCATTTATTAAAATTCAATAACCATATGTATACATTTTTAAAAAAATTATCCACACTATTGATAACTGTTTAGGAGCCAAAGATAAATCATTTGAAGCTACTCTAAGTAAGCCCATTGTGATTATAATTGAAAAAATAACAAAAGCCTAAAGTGAACCTGTAGCACTAACTCAACAGTCAGTCTGTAGTCATCAGTGTGAAAAAAAAATTTCAGAAAATTTAGTTCTAATTGTTAAATATTCAATTTTTTCAGATTGTTTAATCAATATGTAGAAATAATCATGTAAGTATTACATGAGTATTGCTTACTATATAAACACTATACTGTACAGTGTTTCTACAGTCAATAGTATTACATTTATATAAAAAAGAATTTCCGTTATTATTTTATTAACTTAAAGTAAACCCCATTACAAATTTAAATGTTCTAGATAACTCATCAACTTCTTGGTCACAAATTGTCAGTTGGTGAAAGTGAGGTTTTACTGTGTATAACATATGGTTATCTATATCTTCTATACTAATGTACAAGAGTTGTTCCAAAAATAAGTTACATTCTTTTAAATAGGTTTTAAAAAGGAAGAGGAGCGCGGAGAGCGGAGGGCGGAGAGTTATTAACATGGTATTCCACTCCGCTTCTAGGAAAATAGTAACATTAAATTACCTAAGACAAGGGGAGTCTGCTCTCCGCGTTCCTCACTCAGTGCTCCGCTTCCGTGCCTAGGAAAGCCCAGCTTTAGAGGTACAGGTTCTGCTCCCAAGATTCTAAATTTTTGTTTTTATGAGAACAGTGAATTAGTTTGATTAAAATATTTATGAAAGTATACTTATTTTCATGGAAACAGAAGGATCATTACAATGTATAAATTTGTTGGAATAATTTTGATATATGGTAGCTTTTTGTTTACAAATTTGAACCTATAAACAAATGATTGGATCAGGATTAATAGGTTTTAAATTATATCTAAGAGATACTGGTACAATTCTAAAAATTTAACTCACTAAATTTTTTTCACTTTTATTAGTGTTTTAATTCAATTTACAAACTAAATTTCAACTGTACCTACTTTTATTCTGTCCATAGCTACGTACTGCTTATATTTTATCATCTATTTCACATTCACTTTTTTTTTTACATTTACAGAAATCTCCTTAGTAGTTTTGTTTTTACAACACTGCTTTAATCTGACTACCTATATGTAAAATATCACAAAACTAAGCTGCACGCAATTCACTTTTGTTTCTAAAATCAATTAAATATCTGTAACATAGCCTAACAATGTTTTTTTATTCAATGTTTTAAATATTGATATAAATTAATGCAAATACATACGTTTTGAACTATGGAATGATTTAAAATAGGCAGAGGATACACGTCCGGTAACCAGACGTGGATTAGGCGTCCGGCAATTACTGTCATATAACATAACCTAACCAACCAAACTTGCTGATACAGTAGAACCTCTTTAATCCGAATCCCCGTAATCCGAACGTCCACTAATCCGAACCCCTCATTGCTATACTCTATACACAGTACAGCAGTTCTTTATTGTATACTGTATTTAATGTACAGTACCGTTTATTCACCATGTTTACTACTGTATTGAATAAACACTGTATTTTAATTTATTAAACATTTTATTCACTTTTCCCAAAATAATTTAGATCAATTTTAGCCATGTTTTAGCTATTGTTATGTAAAAACAACAATATGTTCTGTAATCCGAACTATTCACTAGTCCGAACTACCCCTGGTCCCAATTAGTTCGGATTAAAGAGGTTCTACTGTAATAAAAATAGTCGAATGAAGTTTAAGTTCTGTTCATAAAATAAAATTATAAATGCTTCAAATTCTATTAAAGATGTACAGTTAAGAAGATATTGCATTCTAAGCAAAATCTTTGACAAAAAGGTAGTGACACCGATGGATAAGTACCTCTTGAACATCAGCCGAGTAGCCTACTCTATCCAATACACCACGAACATCGACGGCATTCCACCGTATCGGTGTGTTAATGGTGTTCCGGGCCAACACAATCCGGTGACGTCACTGCCGGACGCCTAATCCACGTTCAGTTACCGGACGCGTATCCTTTGCGTTTAAAATAATAACTGTTATGTATTATCATTGACTATATATACCTACAGTATATAGGAGTATATATAGTCAATGGTATTATGTTGTTGATTTATTAAATTTATGCTCCGATTAACAATAATATTAATTGGCTTTATAACACAAGGTAATACAAGTTTTTCATTACCTAGTTTATTTTTGCTTATTACTATTACCATAGACTAACCAACACAAGTAGACTTCTCATCCCATTGTAAATTTTGAAGCACGTTTTTTGTGTCTAGTTCATGTACGTGACACATGGGCGCCAGTGTCGACGAAACTTTGTTTCTATTATTTTAGGGTTAATTTCTTGATTTGTGCTTTACTGTTTGATTATATAACTAGGGGACAAGTTATTGTTTATGATTAGATCGTATTATTTGGTTAAAGGAGGTTTTAAATGGCTGTAATAACGGGAAACAAAATGTAAACAAAACACGACCTCTACATAAACCGTACAGAACTAACAATAAAATTGTCTTCAGCTGTTCCATAAGGATGAGAAATCTACTAAGGGAGTATGTTTTATCTATGTTATTACTGTGATATATACACACTGATCTGCAGGTAAAGACTGAACTTTGAAAAAAGCTCAGTGGCTATGGTAAAACAAATCAACTAGGCCTGTATATGAAATCAATATAAACTTTTTTTACTTTAATGCAGTAAGATATTTGTTGTGCGATTACCTGTATTTTTCCTTACTTACCGGTAGGCCCACTTTATATGTAGGCCTACCGGTTCATTGTTCAACTAGGTAAATAAATGTTTAAGTAATTTGGGTACATTATTTCCATAAATGCATCATCAGCTCCTCATATAATTCGTACTAGGTAGCCTTATAAGTTAGCCTAGCCTTAAAGAAAGAAATTTTTCAAACAAATAGTTTCAGTTGAGTTATGCTCCTGAAACCAAAGGGGAATGTGTAACTAACTTGTTTTATACAACGGAATCCAAGATCAATTTGTTTTGCTTCAGTTTCCTCTCTGTTGCGAAGCACAGGTACAACAGGCTGCACTTAACTTTAGTTCCTACACTCATTCGAACGAAAATATCGATCGATATATCGATTGTTCGATATATTGTTTTGGTTAGTTAGGTAAGGTTAACTTAACCTAACTAACCAAACGATATAGCGAATGAAACAATCGAATAGTCGATATTTTCATTCGGTTGTTTGTGTAGGACCTAAAGTAAAGTGCAGCCGTACAACAGCTAGTGGTTTATAAAAAAACCAAGAGGTTTTATTGTTAAAACATTTAGGTCTATCTCTCAAGTTATGACAACTTTGCTTTCTGTAACAGGGTACCGGTACCTATAGTTTTTATTTAGGCCTACACAAAAGTAGGTCTAGCCTGTAGATTTCCTTAAATGGTAAAACCAAGCAAAACTACTTTCATACTTGCTAGTTATACTCTAATTTAGTTTACCTACTCTTCTCTTTTTCATGTGATTTTCGGAGTGCTTCTGGAATTGGAATTTGGTATAAAATTGTTTAGGACAGTCAGTACACTTGAACGGAAGTTCTGTAGCATGGACATAAGAGTGTACTTTTAGATGTGGTTTTGTTAAAAACCTTTTGTCACATATATCACATTTATAACGGCGCTCTCCACTATGCTTTCTTATGTGAGTCCGCATCGATGTAAGAGATTTAAAACTATTTCCACACAAATCACAGCGATAGAGTTTTTCATTACTATGAACACTCTTGTGTTTATGGAGGCTAGTTTTATGTCTAAAAGTCTTATCACAAATTTGGCACTGATATGGCCTTTCCTCAGTGTGTATTAGGTAATGATGTTTCAGATTTCTGTGTTTGGCAAAAATCTTTCCACAAATACTGCACACTTTGGACTTGTCCTCGGACCTTGGTCTCTTTATTCTGTGCTTGACATCAGGATAGACAAGCTTCTTCTGATGTACCAGTATGGTAGGTTTTGTCTGTCCAGTTTGCATGATACCTAGGTTCACATTTGCATCTACATTAGACCCTTCTTTAGGTGAGTCAGGCATATGCGTAAGCTCATGTCTTTTAAGGGATGTCAGCGATTTCACTGATACGTTACATATAGCACAGTATAAATATTGTTTGGCATGTTTTTCAAAAATATGCTTTTCTAAGGATTTGATTTTGTGAGGACCATAGTTGTTCCTACAAACACAACACTTGCAGCATCTGTCTGAGCATAAGAAGTTCATAATTATTTATTATTATAAGGTCTGATTAATTCACAATAGGTCTAAATGGTTGATCAATAAGTCATTGGATTTCTTGGGTATGGGTAGATAAAGGCCTAATCGTTATCTTAACGATATCCTGTGTAGGCTAAGTTAATTACTTTCACTTTGATCAACTCAGCCTACTACTTATCAATTTAAATTAATTCATTCCAGGGGTCAAGACAGTCACTATCCAGGACTTCACAAAATATTTTGGAACTAAACAATTTAAAATATATAAAAGGTTAAATTAAGCTACAGTACAATGGTCAACTCAAAACAAAAATAAAAATTCACATAGGTTAGGTAAAGTCACTCACACCTTCAATAACAAAACAACATAACCAAACAAAACAAACATGCTGACGCTGAACACGCAGCCCTAACTCTTTTTGTCGTATTCTCGCTGATGCAGTGGTCTGGGTATTTTTGTCCATGAGACCACAATGTTCTCAGAGTGTTTGCTATGCAGTTTCGTTGTTTATATGACTATGTTTGGCAGCTGATTACAAGATTCTGTGATGTTCAATAGCATTAAAAAGTTAATAAGTTTACCAACAGGGCGCAGCACTATTATTTTTTTAAATCTATATGACAACAGCAAATTTGCAACTAAAAGGTGAGTGAGCATAAGCCCCCCACAACCCACACACTACCAGACCAGACCGTATGGCTGCAACCAGACCGTTTTGGACGGCTCTACACACTCCCAGACCAGACATTCCAACATTCGAAATTGAAACACCATGGTGAGAACTCCAACTAATGGATAATGACTGTCATGACGGTCTGCCGTCTGACAGACAGCGCCACACACTCACAGACCAGACAAAAATAGTGGTGGGGGAACCCAGGGCTAGAGATATACATGTATATCTGTAGCCCTGAGGGGAACCTCAGACCGTCTGTGGTCTGAGGGTTCAACCATCAGATCAGACACGCAGACAGTCTGGTCCGAGAAAATTGGTCTGCAGACAGCCCCACACACGATAAGACAAGTGCCAGATGCCAGACCAGACGGTCTGGTCTGGTAGTGTGTGGGGGCTTTTAGCGAACGAACTTCAACCTGGGGCCCATTTCATAATAAAGTACAAACTAATATTATTAGTAAATCAGCTGATCGGCCAATGCAAATCTAATGGAAATTACAAGCTACAAGTTGTAACTTGTAACTTGTAACTTGTAGTTTATTATGAAATGGGCCCCAGGAGGCGAGTTAGCGTAGGGAACGAGCTAACTGAAGGCAAGTGAGCGCAGCGAACGAGCTCCAACCCAAAAGGTGAGTGAGCGTAGCGAACGAACTTCAACCACAGGACGTAATTGAGCCATGCAAACGAGCTCATCTTGAAAATAAACGAGCATTGACAATATTGACATAAAACCACATTAGGAGTAGGACAGGCTATCGGGCCAGCTAGTACTGTATACAAATGGTGTTTGGGACATCAAAATGAAAAAGTAAATCGGTCCCGAGCCTTGTAGCCTTGTATGCGATTTTTCAGCACTATTTGTTTGAGCCTTTGACCAGCTTTGACCCTCTCTTCATCTTCATCTTCCTCCAATCCCTTCAATCTTCGTCTCCAATCCAATCCAATTCTTTATTCTTTACTTCAAACGAAACGATTAATGAAAACATGGCTGCTTCTACCAGAATTACACTGCACTTGATTCTACCTAAAAATGAAGAGAGAATGAACCAAACTTTATAATTTAATCGTTATTTTAGTTGTAATGAGTTACAAGGTAAGCGAATACAATATTTATTTCACCGAAATTAATGAAGTTAGCCTAATAATAATGTTTTGTCAATGCATTCTTTGAGGTTGTTGAAAATGTTTTCTTTACTAGCACAAAAAGGGTTTTCATTCTATTCTTAGTAATAAGCATTCCATTGTTGAAAATATTTGTCTCCTTTCCACAAATATTGTTATTGTACAATAGTTAGTTCCCATAAAAGCTACCCTTTCCCTGTAACCTGGATGTGTGGAAGAAAGTTTTTCATGCAATAAGGAAATTGGTTTTCCAGCAAGTTCAAGGTGGTGAATAAGACTAAATTCCAATCTCTACTTAGTTATTAGGTATTTTAGCTTATTTATTAGCTCTTGTAGGTCTACGTTAACAGGTGTAAATATGCCTTACAGCTTATGTGGCATATTTTAACGCTATGTTAACCCAGGAGCGAGGGGGCCAATGTCCCGATTTTTCCCTGACCTAAGGTGGCAAGCCCTGCCCTGAATAACTTAGTGATTCCACATGAAAAAAAATCCAACTTACCGGGTCAAGAAAATCCAGTTTCATCCCAATTTTGAAATATGAAGAATCCCGTTTCACCTATCCCGTAAGATTTTTAACCCTCCGAGTGTCACGCGTCATAAAAATGACGCACAACACACTTTGTGTAGGGTCACGCGTCACTTTTATGACGCACAAACATCGTTTACGGCGAAGGCTCTATGACTGACTGAATCGGATTGAACTGGATCGAGTTAGGTATCGTTCTTTCCGTAATATTCTAAGCTTTCTCCAGAGGTCTGTCTCTAAGCGCTATTCATTTTAGTTCCGAAAATATTGTAGCAGACAGCTGACGTGCGTGTATTTGTAAACAGCTAGGTTCCCCCGGACCGATGACTGATGTGTTTTATTACGTTTATCATTGTTTTAGTGTTAAAAATCAAAAGTAGTGATATACGTGGTGCATTATAAGAAGATTTAAGTGGTTTTGAAGTGCTGGTTGATGATCCTGAAGAAGTAGGTAGTGATATTGATGTAAATTATCAGCCACATTCCTAGCTATGGTTAGGCTATGCATTCTTAGCTAAACGCTATGTACTGAAATCCGTTTTTCGCTCATAACTTATTTATTTGATAACTTACCTCGCTATATGATTATATATTTGTAATCCTCATTAAATTTAGAACAAAGTGGCTATTTTCAAATATTTATAGGCCTATAATTTATACAATTTCATTGAGCGCGAACTTATTTTTTTTTGAAAATTTTCGAAATTATATTTTTTTTTACCTAAAAATTTTTTTTTTTAAATGTTCCTTATGTTTTATATATAATATTGAAGCCCATGATTTTCCAAACAAAATGGTATATAGAACATTAGAATTAACATTGTTTTAAGCTTCTCAGATCCGTTTTAATAAAACCTTGCAAAGGGGCCAAAAATAGGTGGACATTAAGGCCTAAACTATGGACACTCGGAGGGTTAAGTTCAATCTCGGTTGTTTATTTCATGTAAACATCATGTTTTTATAGGCCTGGTTTTCTAAATATTGCTTATCTTATTATTTGCAACAGGAATTTAATCGATTGGGGTAAGTTTTTCTCTTCAATTAAGTACAGTAGAACCTCTTGGCAAATATTTACTGTATTTACATTGGGATACGATGTTATTTTTATATGTCTACTTACAGTATTTTTAACGTTGAATCCAAAAATGCAATCAGTTTTTGTCGGAGAGATTCCTAAGTTGCCGTTGTGGCCGTAAAACGAAGGTTAGGATTACGAATCTAAGGATAATTGAGCCGTATTGAAGGTAATGGTAATATGGCGTGGTCTGGACTGGATGGGTCCGTACTGAGTGAGGAGTGAGGAGGACTGAGTGAGAAGAGCAAACAACTGTTTATACTTGATCTAAGGGTGCGTTCACAAAGAAAGCTGGTTACAAGTAACTTACTTTCAGCGCTTGTTCCATGCTGTTGTGTGTTCACAACAAACACTTGCATTTCAAGCTCAGTGTAGTCTCAGCTCAGCTCTGGTTGAGACAATATCTTCCTCAAGTGATGAAGAGTTATTTTTTATTGAAAATGTAGAATTAAAAGGGTGTAGAATTTAGGAAGGTGTTCATGCAATTAACCGCGGAAGATAATCACGTTTAATTACATCCTCAAGAAAATTGAAAGTGTTTTAGTGAAGTTTTGGGGGGATTGGCATAAGCAACCTATCCATGCACCAGAACGAATTTTGGACCAATAATAAAACCTAAAAAATACTTGAAGGGAGTTTTAAACACCCTATGTAGCTGATTAATTATGATGCAAATAATATTGTGAGATATGTTCAACTGTTTTAATTTTCTAGGTAAATAAAGTAAAAGTATACAAGTTTCATCTATAAAAAATCCAACACAACACTTAATTAATATTGAATGAAATGTGTTTGTCTATCATCTTAATACATATAGGCTGTGTTATATTTGTCCTATTGGTTACGTTATTGAACATTCTAGGGAAAAACCACAATATGTGGGTAATATATTTTTTTGGAAATTGAAAGCTCTAACTACTTGAGCTATCAACTCATCGACATCCACACTGCACTGTAGTTTGTAACTGACTGGTTCGCTCAATAAGCGCCGGAAAATGAGTACGAAACGTTCTTGCGTGCTTGTCAGAGCTTGTAACAAGCGCTTGCTAGCCGGCACAAGCTTTGTCTGTGAACACACACGCTTGATACTATGTTAACTTTTCTCACGCCGGTTCGAGCTTGTAAGCGCTTGCCAACAAGCGCTTGTAACCAGCTTTCTTTGTGAACGCACCCTAATGCGGAATGAAATCAAATCAATTCGTTTTGATTTTTGAAACCAAGTAATCAGTTCTTATTTAGGAATGTGAGGAAGGTAGGTCGGGGTTTATGCGGATTCAAGACTGTATTAAGTGTTTTGAAGTGAGGTTAGATTAGGAAGGTAAAGGTTAGGTTATAATGAACCGACTCATTAATTTATGCAACTTCCAGACTGTTTTTACACAATTAAATAGCGCAAGCATTTTTGATAGCCTATCGTTATTTCATTGTGTTTCACCCACTATTCCAATTGTGCAAAAACAGTCTGGAAGGTTCATAAATTAATGAGTCGGTTTCATTATAACCTAACCTAACTTACCTAATCTAACCTCACTTCAAAGGACTTAATACAGTCACAAATCCGCATAAAGTCCGACCTATCTTCCTCACATGCCTTTTCTGACATAAACTGCGATTTAAACATAATATTAAGGTTGGGTTGGGTTAGGTTAGATTAGATTAGATTAGATTAGATTATGTAACATCATTTATTAGTTGCTGATACATTAAATTATGCACTGTGGCACGTTTTCACTTTTAGACACAATGGGATTATGTAGGTACTATGGGATTATGCACTATGGCACGTTCATTAACAGACGTTGAGGCATTAGCCAATGGTTGAAGATTGGAATAAGGACAATGATCATGTCGGCAGTGGCCTAGCTTCTATTACTGATATTTTACGTGAATAAATTATATTTTGTTTTATATTTTATGTTCATGTGATTAATAG